CTCAACTCTGTGACTTTTGAAAAAGATTACTAGAGATTAGAGATACTTCATCAAAATGCCTCATTTCACAAAAGAAGGCTGAGTTCCAGGAAAAGTTAACACAAACAGGTATAGGCCACACTTATTTTGCTTCTATGCACAGTGCTCTTTCCACTATAATAAACTGTTTTTGCAATTAATGCTCTAAAACAGTTCTATCTTCTCTTTATAATAGTCTCAAGATCTAATAAATTCAACAGAATACAATGCTAACAAGAGCAGCTACAATTGATTAATCTTGTCTATTATCTCTTTTTCTCTCATCAACCCTATAGCCATCTCTAGATGGTACGTGAAGTTGAAAGTGAGCCATCTGTCCATCCCCAGTGTCAGGTAGCTGGACATACTAGTAATAAGATTTGCTGGAAATAAATTATAAAAGCAACAAATAAGCAACAGAGAAATACATTCACCTTGAACACACAGTCACCCTCAATACGGTAAACAAGATTATATGTAACCTAAATAAAATATCTAAAAACTGCAACCAGAAAAGGCAAGATTTGTTAGTAATGAATCCTGGAAAACTGTCCCAGAAGTCAACAATGACAATGTAGTATAGGCAATGTCCAGGAGAGACGGTACTGTAGGAGGCTAATGACTAGAATTGAACTCACAAATACATCCTTATTAACATGAAAGCATCACCTAAGGTTGATGGTACAAATGAAATATTTGTGCCACATAAATTCCCTATTTGCTCACCTATGAAGTCTGAAGCCATGGAGGGAGGGGACTCCTTTGTCTGAGAATCCCTTCCACAGGCACATGCCTTTTACTACCAATAATAATTTGTAGTGACTCCAAATTGATTCAAGGAGGGCCATGAAAAACATTGCATATTAATATAATTGCTTTGTGTGGGAATTATAAAGCAAGAAAGTATTTACATTAGTCACAGTGGGGTGTGTGTGTGTGTGTTTGTGTGTGTATGTGTAATGAAATGCAGTATGTACTGGATCCAGAATTTCTATTTAAGAAAAGCTTACTTAATAGCAATGAATTGATAAGCAATGATTGGAAGATGGGGCCTATCTTAAATCTGTCTGCATAACAATCAAGACTGAAAAAAATTCAATTACACATATTGAAAAAAGGATCACACTGATGCAGATAACCCTAAAGCCCTTCATTAGTATTAGCATATATCTAAATGTGCACTAAATTCACTTCTGTAAAATACTTAAAAACAAGAAAGGGCTGGTGCAGTGGCTAATGCCTTTGATCTGGGCACTTAAGGAGGCCAAGGCAGGAGGACCTGAGGCCAGGGATTGGAAAACAGCCTGGGCAACAAAGGTAGACTCTGTCTCAACAAAAACAAAGAATAGCTAGATGAAGGGTTGAGCACCTGTAGTCCTAGCTACTTGGGAGATTGCAGCAGGGAAGACAGCCTGAACCCAGTCAAGGTTACAGTGAGCTATGATTGCACCATTGCACTCCAGCCTGAGTGACAGAGCAAGATCCTGTTTCTAAAAATAACCACAAGAACAAAAAAACCCTACAAATTGTTAGCTGAAAATGTTAACAGGGATGGTGGGCTGAATGGTATTAAAGTAAAATTTTGGGTAGTATGGAGTAAAAGGCAGGGGGTTAGAGTAAAAGAAGATGAACCGGGCAGCCCAAAGGGACATTTAAGGAAGAAAGGACTGTCTGGGAAGAAATGTCACAGTTAAACTTCATGGCCCAAGTCACTGGCTACTACTTCCTATATCATAAGTATACACAATCACTAGATTAAAATGTCAATAAAGCCATCCCAAGATGGAACAGCTCAAAAGACAATATGTACCTTAAAATATTACAGTAAGTATATTATATATTTTTATACTTTTTTACTCAAAATGTCCAGAACCGTCTAGACATTCATCCTTTCCTAGGTTTTTAAATAATATCAAAGAAAGATTATCTCTCTTTTCTTTTCTCACTTCTTACTTCTCTTTTGCTTTTCAGATTTACAGGGTAAGGAGAAAGTGGGAGAACTAAAACACTACTAAGAAAAGAATCAAACTGGCCTCTAATTAGTCTTGAGGTAAAACAGGTAAACCAAATAAAGCATGTTAAGAGATATGAAATTCAGCACCAAAACACTATAGCACATGCTGCTTAACAGTATTGGCTGGGCATGGTGGCTCATGCCAGCACTTAGGGAGGCCGAGGCAGGAGGATCTCTCGAGCTCAGGAGTTCAAGACCAGCCTGCGCCACACGGCAAAACCCAATCTCCATAAAAAATACAAAAATTACCCCTGGCGTGGTGGTGTGTGCCTGTAACTCCAGCTACTTGGGAAGCTGAGGGCTGAGGTGAAAGGATTGCTTCAGTCCAGGAGCAATCCAGAGGCTGCAGTGAACCAAGATCACCCCATTGCACTCCAGTCTGGGTTACAGAGGTAAACCCTGTCTCAAAAAAAAAAAAAAAAATATATATATATATATATATATATATATATATATATATATAGAGAGAGAGAGAGAGAGAGAGAGAGAGGTATAGACAGATAGATAGATATATTACTATGGATCTATACTTCTCCAACATAGCCCATCTGTTACTGATTGCACATGCAATCAATTGGCAAAAGACTGAACAAATATTTTTCAATAGAGCAGGGGTTAGTACATTATGGCCCACAACACAAATCCAGCCAGTGGACTGTGTCAAAAAAAAAAAAAAAAAACTAACTGGAAAGCCATTAGGTTAAGACAGCTCCAGCACTTTGGGTTCCTATGTAAACAAACCAAAACCCAACTCAATATAAACAGTAAAACTAACTTGAGTTGAACCAGTCAGAAACCACCAACCAACTTCTAACTAGAGACATTCCACTGTAACCAATCAAATATGTTCTTTGTCTGTTTCCATAAACACCTTATAAAAGTTTTTCCCTCACACCCTCTTGGTGGAGTCTTGAACCACTTGTGGTCTGGTGATACCCAATTTATGAAATTGCTGAATGCTCATATAAACTCTAAAATTTTAATGTGTTTAAAGTTATCTTTTAACAACTGTTTTTGTATAACCCACGTGCTAAGAATGGTTTTTACATTTTTAAAGGGTTGGGGAAAAAGAAAAGAGGAAAAAAAGAGAAATGAATATGGAACAGAGACTGTACAGCCTGTACAACCTAAAATACAGGTAATCCAAGCTTCACACATTACTTGGTTAACTGAAACTCTACAAAGCAAGGGCTGCCTACATTTACTGTCTGTTCCCTTACAGAAATAGAGGATATCCAAATGCCAGTAAACACATGAATATGTGTTCAATACCATTAATCATTAAGGAATTTAGGCAAAAATCCCAATGTTATGTCACTATATGCCTACTAGAATGGCTAAAATGAAAAAGACAATGTGAAATGTTGAAGCATTTGGAAAAAACAGAATTCCCAGCCTGCCACCAAAGTGTAAATTGACACAATGTAAATAACTTTTTGGTAGTGTATACCACAAACACACATCTGCATATCCTGTAACACAGTAATTTTACTAGTAGGCATATATGCAATAAAAATGTATACATAATTTCATCAAAATATTTATAAAAAGCTTCATAGCAGCCCTATTGGTAATAGCCAAAACTAGGTGGAATACTATACATACAGCATGAGAATAAACTGAAACATAACTTGAATAAATCTTATAAACATAATATTGAGTAAAAATCAGACACAGAGGACTAAATACCATATTACTCCATTTATGTAAAGCAAATAATAGGTGAAATTCATTGATAATGTTAGAAGTCCAGATAACGATTATCTTTGGAACTATGAAGTGGGGCTTTTGGAATGCAATGATGCTCTTTCTTGATCTAGATACTGGATATGTGGATATATATACTTTGTGAAAATTCACTGAGCTGTACACTTATGATTCATGCATTTATCTATATGTCTTTATACTTTAAATATTAATGCAACATAAATATTTCTATAAACTCTAGGCCTTTGAAGGAAAATTGTATACATCTCCCATTCATTTTGCTGATTGCCATCATTATCTCCCATCAATGAAATGTCTTGATTCCTATTACCTTATATTAAAAAGTCAGCTTTGTTTTAATTAATTTTATTGGCATATGATTGCATAGAATGATTATGTAATCATTTTCGATTAATTCCATAACAGATCACAAGGAAAAGCTTTGAAAAGCCAATAATTTGTAATAGTATATTCAAATTATCTGGGGAAAAAAACCTCCTTGAAGTGTAGTTTTGTTTGGCCCTTTGTTTTGGCTTATCTCTGTCTACTACTACTGTGATTTAACCTACATAAAATGCTCAAAGAAGCTTTTCCAAATGTCTGTGCTTGTGGAAAGTTGTTTCTTTCTACCATCCTTGACTAATAATGCGCTGTCTTGTACCCTTCAGTTCCCTCCATCCATCGAGCTTAAAATGCTTCCCAAATGTTGCACTGGGCCCAGGGACATTGTGAACCAAAAAAAAAAAAAAAAAAAAAAAAACCTAACAGTATCTTTTTACAGCGTGGCTCAGCGCGCCTAAAGAAGCACCTCATTCTTCGCTCACACTTCCAAGTGTGAAAACTGAAATATAAAACGATTAAGTGATTCTCTCAAGGACACAGAGTCGATCAGAGGTTGAACGAGGACTGGAAGCTTCTGACTAACCGCGACTTAAGAGGGAAAAAAAGAAACAAAAAACAAAAACAAAAAACATACACCCCTGAAAGAATGCTCAGCTGCTCAGCTCCAGTATTAGGAAACTGGAGACAAAACCGAAATCATACCCAGAAAGAGTTGTCTGCCACCTGAGGACCCCACCACACTGACCCTCGAGGGCCCCTCCTCACTCCCGGCCGCGCGGGGTCAGCATTCACCGAGTACAGACTCTGCGCTGCCCCATTTCCTTCTCCAAGGAAAGGTCTGCGGTCGAAAACTCCAGGGCTGATCTATACCCACCACTATCACTCTCCGTCGCCCAAACCGCCCTGCCCCACCGTTTACCTGAGATGCGCCCGGCGTCGCCTGAGGAGTCGACTCTGCGAGCTCGCCCAGAGTTTCTCAGGCCCAGTGCGCAGCCACCACGTCAGCCAATCGCCGCAGGCTCGGAGCCTCCCGGCCCCAGGCCCACCCACAAATGACCGGGCAGGGGTGCGGGGCGGGGCCCGGAGCTGGAGGGAGAGTGGGAGCCGGTTGCCGGCGGCACGGGAGGGCCTACGGTGCGGCGCGCTGCAACACTGGGTGCAGATGGCGCGCACCGGGCATGCGCATGCCGCGCCGCCTGGCCGCGAGGTGGCTTCTCCAGGCGAAAGAGAGCCTGGGAAGGGCAGGGAAGAGTTTGGAGAGAAAGTAGGCGGACTTAAAACGCCGCCGTGGCTGCCCTAAACGGGTCGCTTATTGTTGTCCAGATCCCGACGAGGAGCACAAAACGTCCTTTCTCTTCCGAAAGAGCAAAACGTTATCTGGACAAAACCTAATCTGATAAGAAGGGGGAGAACGGAAAACTGAAAACGGCGTCTTGTGGCTTCACACTTGGCCTCGCCGAGTTTTCTTAGGACCTGGCGAAATTTTGGTTTCCTTCTTTGTGTGTGGGTTGGGATGAGAGGTGGGAGGGGCGTGTTTCGAAGCGGCGGTCAAGTGAAAAGGGCAAGGGATCGAGCTCCGGTTGAGTGAGCGATAGTACTACCTAGGTCCTGGCCAAAGAACGTTTCATACTAAAACCTTGGAGCTGGTGACTTTTTTTTTTTTTTTTTCTTGACTGAAGTGCTGGAAGGAGATCTGGATTATGTACGATATGTGAATCATCTAAGAAAAAATCTTGAACCTTCCAGAATTTAACAAATTCCAAAGTTTGTTCCATAGTTCAGAATTGCTTTTATAAATGTCACTTTAACTCCTGTTACTCATAATTTCTTCAGACACCAAATACTTAGTGAGCACATACTATGTGCCAGGTACTCTTCTAAGTGCTGAATAATGAACAATATTTTTTAATACACCCCAGAGAGTAGGCATAATATGAAGTACTGACGGGTTCCTAAATTGGTGTTTAAGTTAATGAAAGGAACTTATCCTTTAGTAAGTGTACAAAAGAGAGTTTAAAAAAACTAAGAAAGGCCAGGCGCCATGGCTCACGCCTGTAGTCCCAAAAGACTGAGGCTTGAGCCCAGGAGTTTGAGACCAGCCTGGACAACATAGTGAGACCTTTACTTTATTAAAAATCAAAAAAATTAGCTGGGTATGATGGTGCATACCCGTAGTCCTAGCTACTAGGGAGGCTGAGGTGGGAAAATCACTTGAGCCCCAGAGGTGGAGACTGCAATGAGCTACGATGGCTGGTGCCACAGCACTCCAGCCTAAGGGACAGAGCATGAACCTGCGAAAACTAACAAAATGGAAAACTTGGATGTAAATTACTTGGAACAACAGAGGTTATAATAGTCACAAAATTTTGGTTATGTATGCTATAAGGAACAGACAGTGCTCTTAAGAAGTTTGTTACAGATTCAGCTTTGAAATGCTTTTTTTTACTTTACTTCAGTCAGGATTTGAATCATATTTATGAACATAAAGTACCATAAAAATCTATGAAGCAAAAACAGAGATCGTTCAGTTGGTCAGAGTAAATACTCCAATCAGGAAGCATATGGCTTGTGTGAAAGATTAGGGCCAAATCAAATTATGTGTAAAACAATGGAAAAAATTGCTTTTCCTGGCTAGGGAATAAGAAATAAAGCAGTATAGTGATTACCACACTGAGAACATTCAAACCATGTAATGAATTAGTAGAATAAATTTAGAGAAAATTATAATATTTTTCATTGAGTAAAATTCATTTCCCTCTCTTTTTAAAGCCCATTAAAAAGAGAGCTAACAGTCTCCAGGATAAAGAGAATCCTCATGTTTCCTTTCAGTAAGCTGATTTTCCCCCTCTCTCTCTGTTTTATGCAATGAGTTCAAACATTAGGACTAATTCTCCCTATTCTTGGCTGGGCATGGTGGTGGCTCATGCCTGTAATCCCAGCACTTTGGGAGGCCAAGGCAGGTGGATCACGAGGTCAGGAGATCAAGACCATCCTGGCTAACATGGTGAAACCCTGTCTCTACTAAAAATACAAAAAAAAAAAAAAGAAAAGAAAATTAGCTGGGCTTGATGGTACATGCCTGTAGTCCCAGCTACTTGGGAGGCTGAGGCAGGAGAATTGCTTGAACCTGGGAGGCAGAGGTTGCAGTGAGGTGAGATCGAGCCAATGCACTCCAGCCTGGGCAACAGAGCAAGACTCTGTCTCAAAAACAAACAAACAAAAAATTCTCCCCATTCTTTTTCGTAATGTACCTGAAGTAACTTATTAATGCTCTTTCCCTAAAACTTTTCATATGACAACAGGTAACTTTTCCCCTACTCCCCTCCATCACCACCATAACTAATATATCCATTTCTTCATTCTCTATCCTTCTAACAGTTGCCTGTCTATAAGAAATGAAAGAGATAAATTAGAGCTTTTTTTCTCTTTGCAAAATGATTGTCAAAGATAATGTCTATGTCCTCATCCCTCATATAAGCTGGACTTTTGCAGAAATATGGATGAAGATGAGGAGAAGGAAATGAACCACTCTTTTATTACAGGGAACAAAAGAATGTCAGATTATTAATATTATCAAGTCTATAAATATCAGGCTCCCACAATGTGTCACACACTGATCAGTTCTGGAAACAAAATAATGAATAACAATTAGGCACACAAGTAGCTGAGAATACTGTGTGTATTAATCAGGGTTCTAGAGAAACAGAATCAACAGGATATGTGTGTACACACAGAGAGAGGGAGAGTGATTTACTGTAAGGAAATGGCTCATGCAATTATGGACTTTTAGTGAGTCCAAAATCTGAGGGAAGAAGCTAGTAAGACTCAGAAAAGAATTGCAGATGGACCCACATTATGGAATGTAATCTGTTTTAGTCAAAGTCTGCTGATTTAAATGGTAATCTCATCAAAAACAAAAACACCTTCACAGACGCATCCAGGATAATGTTTCACCAAATATCTGTGCACCATAGCCCAGCCAAGTTGACAGAATTAACCATAACACTGTGTAAACTGAGAAATGTCTTTGGAACAGGGGAGTTTAGGGAATGAGGAAGACCTAGGAAAATCTGAAGGGAATAATGCTTCCTGTAGTATGAATAAGACTTAGCGAGGTGAAGAGGTGAGGGTGGAGGTGCAGAGAAAACAGAATTCCTTATAAAGGAATCAATATGGAGGCAAAATACTGTAAGGAGCTATAAGCAATTTAGTATCACAGTATAAAATTTAACATGGAAAGTGATGGAAATGAAGTTGGAGGGATTATGTAATGTCTTTTTAAAAAATAGAGCTGGAGACTCACTACATTGCACAGGCTGGTATCAAAGTCCTAGCCCCAAGCAATCCTCCCACTTTGGCCTCCCAAAGTGCTGGAATTACATGCGTGAGTCACCATGCCAGGGAATATAAATGATCTTTCAATTAATTACCTTGGTCTTGATTCTATAGTCAATAAAAATTGAAAGTTAAACAAAAGTGATGAGATTAGATTTACACTTTCATTCATCAATTTTGATATATATTTCAGAAGCAAAATTATCAAGTTTGCAAGACTAGGTAATCTAATTGAAAATGATAAAAGGGTTGGGCTCTGTGGCTCATGCCTGTAACCTCAACACTTTGGGAGGCTGAAGCAGATGGATCACTTGAGGCCAGGAGTTCAAGACCACCCTATCCAACATAGTGGGATGCCCCCCGTCTCTACTAAAAATACAAAAATGAGCCAGGCATGGTGGCACATGTCTGTAATCTCAGCTACTCAGGAAGCTAAGGCATGAGAATCACTTGAACCTGGGAGGCGGAGGTTGCAGTGAGCCGAGATTGTGCCTCTGCACTCCAGTTTGGGCAAGAGAGTGAAACCCTGTCTCAAAAAATAAGTAAACAAATAAATAAATAATAAAATGTATGAGGTAAAGCAGGATAGATGAAGAAGGGTGGCTTGAAGAAGTAGGAACTAGTTTGCAAAATCTAATAACTAGTTGAGAAAGAGGAAAGCATTGATGATATTAAAGATATTGGTGAATAAGTAAGTTCAGTTTTTGATAGAATGAGTTTGAAGTGCTAGGGAAACAGCCTTAGAGTAGCTTTGCAGCAGTCACATGCAAGGAAGTGTTCTGGACTGGGCTAGACATGGAATTAATGAACATAGATATGATGGTTAAAACTATTTTTAAAATTTTCAAGTAAATGCCATAGCTGAAGCAGGTGAATTTTCTGAGGTCAGAACATCTAGACCATCCTGGTCAACATGGTGAAACCCCCTCTCCACTAAAAAAAAAAAAAAAAAAAAAAAATTAGCCAGGTGTGGTGGTGGGTGCCTGTAATCCCAGCTACCCAGGAGGCTGAGGTAGGAGCATCGCTTGAACCTGGCAGGCTGAGGTGTGGGGAGCCAAGATCGCACCATTGCACTCCAGCCTGGGTAACGAGAGTGAAACTCTGCCTCTAAATAAATAAGTAAATCCTATGATTTAGATTAATGAAAAAAATCAAAATTTGTAGGATGCCTATAAAGTAATACTTAGAGGAACTTTACAGTACTAAACACCACTATTAGAAAAGAACGACCTCAATAGCCTTAGCTACCACCTCAAGAAACTAAGAACAAAACAAAATAGAGTAAATGACAGAATGGGAATAATAAGAACAGAAATCAGTATAACAGAAAACAGAAACGCAATACAGAAAAATGAATGAAATTAAAACCTGGTTGTCTGATAACATCAATAAAATTAAGTGATCAAGAAATAAAGGAGACATACCCAAACAAATGAAGGTTAATAAAAAAAAGAAAAAAAAAAAGAAGACTACCAATATCAGAAATTAAAGAAGTGACATCACTACAAATTCTATAGATATTAAAAGAGGGATATTATTAAAATTTTATGCCAATAAACTTGATAACGTACGGGAAATGGACAGATTTCTTGCAAAAATAAGTGAAGATATGATCTTAGCTCTAGTCTAACCTTAGCCAGGTCCAAATGCAGCCTTGGAGCATGAGTTGCAACACAATACAGTAGTCTCCCTTTATTTGTAGTTTAACAGTTTCAGTTACCTGCAGTCAATCATGCTCTAAAATTATTAAATGGAAAATCACAGAAATAAACAATTCACAAGTTTTAAATTGTGTCATTCAGAGTGCATGATGAAATATTGGGCCATCCCATTCTGTCCTGCCTGGGATGCGAATCATGTCTTTGTCCAACATTATCCATGCTGTATATACTACCCAACCTGTGAGTCATCTACATTGCTCCTGACAACCAAGCATATCATCACTGCTCAATGATCCAGGATCACCAAGAAGCAGATGATCCTTCTTTTTATGTATGGTCGGAAGGTCAGTATTAGCCTAATGCTATGTTACAATGGCTATGTCATGCACCTCACTTCATCTTATCACGTAGGCATTTTATTATTACACATCATCACAAGAAGAAAGTTGAGTACAGTATAATGTTATGAGAAAAAGACAACATTCACATAACTTTTATTATACTGTATTGTTGTAATTGCTTTATTTTTATTATTTTTGTTAACCTCTTACTGTGCCCAATTTTTTTTTTCTTTTTTCGAGACGGAGTTTCACTCTTGTTGCCCAGGCTGAGTGCAATGCCACAATCCTGGCTCAATGCAACCTCCACCTCCTGGGTTCAAGCGATTCTCCTGTCTCAGCCTCATGAGTAGCTAGGATGGCATGTGCCACCACACTCAGCTTATTTCATATTTTTAGTAGAGACAGGGTTTCATGATGTTGGCCAGGCTGGTCCCAAATTTCTGACTTCAGGTGATCCAACTGCCTCAGCCTCCAAAGTGCTGAGATTACAAGTGTGAGCCACTGTGCCCAGTCTTAATGTGCCCAATTTAAAAATTACACTTTATCACAGATACATATGTATAGGGAAAAAAATGTACCATTTGCTGTTTCAGGCATCTGCTGGTGGTCTTGAAAAGTATTCCCAGTGGTTAAGGGGTGACTACTGTATTGGTCCCACCTTAAGACAAAGAGGTCAGCATTTTGTTTCCCTTATTATTTTAGTCAGTCATTGGCTATGAGGTTACCTCCAGCATGGAGAAGTGGGAAATGGTGACATATGTAACCTCCCAGGTAAGGTAGTGATGTATGTGACTTCCCAAGCTTCTCTTGGGCTGAGGACATGTTATGGTTTGGCTGTGTCTCCACCCAAATCTCATCTTAAATTGTAGCTCCCATAATTGCCTCATGTTGTGGGAGGGGCCCAGTGGGAGATAACTGAATCATGGGGGTGGTTCCCCCACTTCCACCATTCTCATGGTCGTGAACAAGTCTCATTCACATATTGCAGAGGTGAGCAAAGATACGATCTCAATTATAGTCTAACCTTAACTACTCAAAAATAAGATCTGATGGTTTTACAGGGGAAACCCCTTTTGCTTGGCTTTCATGCTCTTCTCTTGTCTGTCTCCATGTGAGACATGCCTTTCACCTTCCGAGATTATGAGGTCTCTCAGCCTCATGGAACTATAACTCCATTAAACCTCTTTTACTTTATAAATTACCCTGTCTTGGGTATGCCTTTATCAGCAGTGTGAAAATGGACTAATACAGGATGTTTCCCTAAAAAGAAATTATGAGTTTATAGCCATCAACACTCACAGCAGCTGGTACGGGTGGGCCAGCTTGGTAAAGGGATTTATTTGTGTGACAGAATATAGTTTGTTTAGCCTGTGGTTAATATTTAAATCTACAATCCACTGCTATCAAAAGAAGGAATCCTGGGATGGAATCCCAGCTATAGTAGTATTCCTGGTGTGATCTTGGAAAACTCAGTTTCTGCTTTGGAAAATGAGGGAAATATTTTCTATCAGCTCTGAAATTCTATGTCTAGTATATAGTAGATTCTAAATATTTGTTGAATAAGTGATTCTATATTGCACTCAAGATCCCATATTTAATTAATGAAAGTCTGAAAGATATTGCTCAAAAGCCTTTATTCTATCAAGTTAGCAAAATTTCTGAAAACTATTTCTTGGTAAATATTTTCAAACATAGAAGTTTTAATCAAATATTTAATGAAATGAAAAACTTTATTTTTGTATACCTGATCACATAAGCAGCAAGTCTCCCCAATTCCTCAAAACATTTAAATAATTCTGCCAGATATCGCTAACTTTTAATGACCCAGCCTAAGAAATGAAAATAAAGTATGAAACCAAATTATTGTACTTTGTACATTTGATTAGAAATCAAATAAATTGAACTACTAAATTGCTGATATTCAACGGTTCTTGACCCCCCCAAAATGGCAATTTTTATATGGCCCACACTAAATATATTTAGTATTAAATAATGTGTTTTAAGAAATATTACAATAGGGCTTCCAAAACCTCCCAGTTCTCCCTTTTACTGTTATCATCTCCTGTCTGTTAGGGGTGTGGCAGCTATTTTTGAAAAATTTCACAATCTTTTATCTTTCCTACATAGCATAGGCAACTTGTAGTTTCTTTAAAAAGTATAAATTAGTAGTTTTGTTTTGCTAACTATCCTAAGCAGCTAGTATGAATAATCAAGCCTTTAATAGAGAGAATATACTAAGTTTTTTAATGTTCCTCAATTGTTTAAGTCAGTGGTTCACAACCTTTAACGTTCATAACCAACAGAGAACTTGTTTCTGCGCCCTATGCCAGAGATTCTGATTGAGTTTAGGTGAGGGTAGGACACATGAATTTGACTTCCTAACAAATACACAAATTATGCTGATGCTATAGGTACTAAAACCACTGTTAAGAACCACTGACTAGAAAAAACTATTTGTAACCAGGCTTTTTCTTCTTTTGGTCCTTAGGTAAATAAAACTCAGGTTGATGAGGTATCATTTTACCTTCAATCAAAACCATTTTTGGTAAAGTACTACCTTACTTACCTCTTTTGAAAGGTAAGTGTAAATTAGACTTGCTTTGACGTGGTTGCTACAGACCACAATTACAGGACAACTGAGAAATTTATTCACTTGTCCTTTCTTTCGAATCTCACTGTGCTCTGGCTTGCCAGGAGGTGCAAGGGTCGTCCTAGCCTTGCACTTGGCGCTCCAGGCCTGGGTCACTTCCCTTGAGTTATCAGAGACAGCGCGTCCAGTTGACAAACTCTGCCGGAGGCTTCTGATAGAGACGGGCGTGGGCGCCAGTGGTGAGCCAACCCAACCCCATCTGCGAGTCTTCTTTCCAGGGACCTTTTCCGAGCCGAGGGCACCCCTTCAAGAAGCGCTGCGGACAGGTTCCGACTCGCAGGAGATCGCGCGACGAATCTGCGCCTCGGACCCTCGCCTTCCGGCAGTTGCCGGATTGCTGCCCCACAGGGAGCCAACCCGCCAGAGGACCAGCCCAGCCCGGGCTCTGTGGATCAGCAGGCTGTGCAGGCGGCGAATTCGCCCACGCATCTCAATCCACTCCCTCGTCCCCCTGCCGGCGAAGATGTCCGCGAAGCCTGAAGTAGGCTTAGTGCGCGAGGCTTCTCGGCAGATCGTGGCCGGTGGTTCTGCAGGTAAGGACACCCCGCCCTGCCCCGCCGGAGGCTAGCAGCTTTCCCCACCGTTTGTCCTGAAAAAGTTTCCCAGACAGGTCTTCCTATTGAAGTTTTGTCCTCTTCCTCAAAATTCCGCGCCCCCGGAGCAGTGCTTGAGCCTGTGGAGGCGCGAGAGCAAAGGAGGCCGGGAGCGGACTGCGAGTACCCGGTGCTCCAAGTTAAGTTGCCGCAGCGTCGGCGCCCGCCGCTCTCGGGTTCCCGGCATTCTGTGTTCCTGGCCTGTAAAGCAAGTAGGACAACTCCAAGGACAGCGACTTTGAGGTAATCTTTTTGCCTTGCTGGCTATTTTACTTGAAAACGTTCCAGTTCAGTCTTAGTTTTATCAATTGTAGCGTCTTTCTTCAAGCTCTCTCAAATCTTAAATAAATCCTGCCTTCCTCATCAAAGTGCTTACATCAGGACTCCATAGGACTTATTATTGCATACTGTGCTTGCTTGGGGATATTCGTGCCTTAAATAAGCATATTAAAATTAAATGTATATGTTAATACACATAAACACCTTGATATAATGGGCTCGCATTAATTTACAGAGTTATGCTGTGGGGGAAAAACAACCCGTTAAGAAATAATGTTATAATTTATCTTGGAAATACTTTTAAATGTAGCGAGCGGGAGAAAGTTACCATGAGCTGTGTTATGTGCAAGTATTTTAAAGCTATTTTAAAATATAAATTATGATTTGGTTTAAAATTTAATCTTACAATCATGCATTTTTATTATAAATATGTAATCAAAATAATTGCAATAATTGGCTCATCACCAGAAAACATTTTATAAATGTAGCAATTCTTTTAATAAATTATATTATGGTAACTAATAAATCATGTTAAGGCAATAACTAGAAGATGTTCAAATGTTTAACTTTGACTAGTAAAAGTTACTGTATTTTCAAACAAATCTGGACTTTTTGTAAGGGACTCCTGCAAATTATGACTGATTATCACTATGTCATGACCTAGTTGCATCTCAGGAGTACCATAAGCAGCCACATGTGTCACTTACAATCTGGACACTTTCTTAAAGATGATATTTCATCAATATCACATTAGAAGCATGCATTTCTTACAGGTAATTGTAAAATGTTAGTTCTTTTGTTCTTCCTTTCTCTCTCTCTTTTTCTCTTTCTCTCTTTTTCTTTTTATGTTTTTGAGATGGAGTCTCGCTCTGTTGCCCAGGCTGGAAGGCACTAGGGCTGGAGTGCAGTGGTGTGATTTCAACTCACTGCACCCTCTGCCTCCCGGTTTCAAGCGATCCTCCCACCTCAGCCTCCTGAGTAGCTGGAATTACAGGTGTACGTCACCATGCCAGCCATTTTAAAAATTTTTTTGTGGAGATGGGCTTTCGCTATGTTGCCCAGTCTGGTCTTGACCTCCTGGGCTCAAGCATTCCTCCCATTGCAGCCTCCCGAGTAGCTGGGATTACAGGCGCCCACCACCATGCCGGGCTAATTTTTTTTTTGGAGGTGGGGAAGGGGATTTTTTTTTTAGTGACAGGGTTTCAGTATGTTGCCCAGCTGGGTTCAAGCAATCTGACCCCCTTGACCTTCCAAAGTGGTGGGACTACAAGCGAGAGCCAACTATGCAGCCCATCCATTATTATAATGGCAGTGGCCCCATTGCTTGCTCTTTTAGTTTTCCAATTGTGGTGATGAATTTGCACCAAGTTATTTACCATTTTTGGTCAAATTCCACAATGCCTAAGGTTCTGTCTTCTGTACCTGACTCGTTGATTTGTAGTACAGGACCCTGATCAAGGAAAACTCAGCTAGTCCAAAGAGAAAGTGAGTCCAATTGATGAACATCCTAAGCTAAGACCAATGATTCATAAGCATTTGTATAGTGATTTATGTGATCATACTATGTATTAGGCACAGCTAAACTCAAAAGAATGTTAAAAGTAGATCAAACTCAGCTGGGTGTGGTGGTTCATGCCTATAATCCCAGTACTTTGGGAGGCTGAAGTGGTCGGATCATGAGGTCAAGAGATTGAGACCATCCTGGCCATCATGATGAAACCCTGTTTCTATGAAAAACACAAAAATTAGTTGGGTGTGGTGGCATGTGCCTGTAATCCCACCTACTTGGGAGGCTGAGGCAGGGGAATCACTTGAACCTGGGAGGCAGAGATTGCGGAAAGCCTAGGTGACAGAGTGAGAATCTATCTCAAAAAAAAAAAGAGTAGGTCAAACTGTAATCCTACTTGTGCTGTTTTGTTGAGTGATAAGTACTTGGCATAAATATGTGTGATTCCATCATCTATTCTTATAATTGTAACTAATATAAATAAAATTAGGACGTTTATAGGATAATTTAAAAATGGCAGCACAGTTGATTGCCTGTGCTTCCTAGTGTCCTCCTCAGTCCTAACTCCATCAATAACTGTGGAGTTATTGATAAATGATTAGAGTTATTTATACTTTCATAATAGTAAAAAAGAGTTATATTTTCTTGTACTTGGCCAAAAGCATTTTCATAAAACATTATCTTTGCTGCATTGTAATAAATGTGGGCTAACCATATTATATGTACTGGTCAAGGCCAGACAAAAATCAATATACAAGAGAGGTAGAATCTTAATAAAAACAGGAAATGCATTTGAATCTCTGGCACTGGCGTTCTGATCACTGATATTGTCATTGAATACAATACTACTGTGTGTGTGTGTGTGTGTGTGTGTGTGTGATATGACCTTTTGTTTGTAAAGGTCAAAGATACATTCTTGGTGATATGACCTTTTGCTTGTAAAGGTCAAAGATACATTCTTGGCTTTCTTAGGGGAAAAAGAAACTCTGGGAGGTTTATTGGAGAGATACAAGGGTATCTAGTGGAATTCAAGGTCTGAGATGCATTCCTGGAAGGTACTGGAATCAGGGGTTGGACTGCTGAGGATAACTCAGGAGATGAACTCTCTCCGTCTCTTCTCTTTGTCAAGTAGTCAAGTGTTCCTAAGGCAGCAGGGAGGCAGCTAATAATAGGGCCACAAGTATCACTACTATACCTGTCAGGATGGCTTGCAAGACTTCCCCAGTTACTTACCTGGTAAGGAGTAAGCATGCCCAAATGCAGTCAGTTAGCTTATTAGTTAGATAGGAAAAACAAGTCATCATGGTACCAGCTCCCTGTGCCAATAGTACCAGTCAGCACTGAACAGAAGAGGCCAGAGGATAGGTGGGATGAGTGGGTCACTCTGCTGTTAAGGATCCACCTCTAAACCACAGCCATGCAGTTTTAGAGACTTATGTTGAGGTCTGCAGCTGTAACTTAAAAAGGGGTAAGGTGGAAAGTCTTACACTCAACTGAAACTAGGGAGAAGGATGAAAAGAAGCCTTGTGGCAGACTTCCACAAGATAGCAGCTCCTCTCCAAGCTGCTTATCTACCCTTTCACTTGGAGAAATCACAGGGCATTCTGCCAAGACTCAGTCCAGACTATGGTCTAACCTTGCCTACCTGGTCCATGTGGAGATATACGAGGTCGTCAGGGTGCCACACTGTGAATCTATTTCCCTGTGCTTCCTGGTGTCCTCCTCATTCTCACAATTGTCTGCTGTTTTTTTGTTCTTTAGTCTGTGTAGCAGAATGTGGTCCCCAACAGCTTCTATGTATATATGCTCTTGACTTCCTTTTCTTGGAGGGAGGGAGAAACTAACTTCCTTTTCTTTTTTTTTCATTTCTAGTCGAAAATCCTGGGGAAAACCTAAAAATAACTGAACATTAGTAGGGGCCCACCTCTGTACCAATCAACTGCAGCTAATCCCCTGTGCAGATTGGTGGGGCAGGTGAGGTAGGGACCTCAGGGGAGATTATTTTCCAGAAAAACTAGATACATCATGAAATGAACAATAGGTATTTTCTATAATGATATAGGCTTTTCTTTTATAAGAACATGATTTGTAATATTTTCATTTAAAAGACTAAAGACATTGATGCACTGACAGTTGCCTGGATAATACACTACATGTCAGAAGAAACTGATACATACATGTAAAGACTGGTCTTTAAATGTAGATTTAAAGATTCAGGTGAGAGAATCACAGAAGCCAATGATGAGAGAGTCAGAGAAACCAGTGATGAGAACTTCAGGAAGATCAACAAGGACTAGCATTGCAGAGGGGTTAAAGATGACAATGAGAAGAGGTTACTGGATCAGACTCTTGCTACTGAAAATGTGGTCCATGGATGAGCTGCAGGAAGGAGTATGGTAGCATCTGTCAGTTTGTTGAAAATTTAGGATCCCAGGCCTCACCCCAGACCTACTATAACTGCCTGGTGGGTTTGTCTTGCCTGCTGCCTAGACAGAACCGATTTATCAAGACGGGAGAATTGCAATAGAGAAAGATTAATTCACTCAGAGCCAGCTGTGTGGGAGACCGGAGTTTTATTAATACTCAAATCAGTCTCCCCACACATTGTGGGGTGAGGGATGCAGCCAGAGAGTCAGGAGTGCTGATTAGTCAGGTCAGAGATAAAAATCATAGGGAGTCTATGCTGCCTTACACTGAGTCAGTTCCTGGGTGGGGGGTGGGGGAGCGCACAAGATTAAATGAGCCAGTTAGATCTGGGTGGTGCCAGCTGATCCATCAAGTACGGGGTCTGCAAAATATCTCAAGCACTGATTTTAGGGTTTACAATAGTGATGTTATCTCCAGGAGCAACTTGGGAAGGGTCAGAATCTTATAGCCTTCAGCTGCGTGACTCCTAAACCATACTTTCTAATCTTTTGGTTAATTTGTTACTCCCACAAAGGCAGTCTAGTCTCCTGGCAAGAAGGGGTTCTGTCTTGGGAAAGGATTGTTATCTTTCTTTAAACTGTAACTACAAATGAAGTTCTTCTCAAAGTTAGTTTGGCCTATGCCCGAGAATGAACAAGGACAGCTTGGAAGTTAGCAGCAAGATGGAATTGGTTAGGTAAGATTTCTTTCACTGTCTCAGTTAAAATTTTGCAATGGCAGTTTCACTACCATATGAGAACCTGCATTTTGGGAGGGTCCCAAGTCATTGGTTTTCACTTAAAAGTTTAGAAGCACTGTGTTAGAAGGCCTTTGAGAAAAAGAGATTCTATAGTGGGAGAAGGTCAAAGCCAAATTGCAGAGGACTGCAAGTGAAATCTTTCTTGGTTTTCATTGCTGACCCAGACAGAAGAATGCATTTCATACTCCCTATTTTATGCCCTCAATTTAGCTTTCAGGCATATTTTTCTCCCCTCTACTACATATTCTATTCAGTTTCTGCTGAACAGGTCTGCTGACCATTCTTGACTGT